CTTCTGCTTGAAACCCTTAACTTCTCCCATCTCCTCCCTCCCATCCTCCTCCCCCCACTTGCCTGTGATCATGTGTTTCACTCGCACGTTCCGATACTCAGATACTCCAGCCTTAGTTTGCAACGTGTCATTTTAACTAAGATGTTCTAAAAGGTGCCTCAAAATAGCAGCAGCACAGGGGAAGGAAAATCGAAACCGTTCAACTTTCAAGTAAGCACTTCAGGAAGATTGACAGGCCGCTTCAGGGCTGCACAGTCGTTCAAGCACGGTTTGTCTCCCCCGTATAAGTATGTTTTATTATAGAGACGTGAAATGATTCCATGTGTTACTAAACGGGCTTCGAGTTACCCTGTAGTTTCTCTCTCTGGGAACACGTGGGGACATATGGTTTACACGTTGGAGCATCATAGAGCCTTATGTAAAGCCATGGCACAGAATCGTTTTGTGAGGTTTCAATTGGCAGTCGTGAGGTTTAAATTGGCAATTTGCGCGGTGGATCAAGTCCCAGCCTGGATCAATTGGTAGCACTCTAGCTTCTGAGTTAGAAGATCGTGAGCTCAAACCCCACATCAGGACTTTGAACTCATAGTCTAGACTGACATTCTACTGCAGTGCTGGAGGAGTACTGGATTGTCAAAGGTGCCGTCCTGCAGAAGAGACATTAAACCGAGGGCCCATCTGCCTGTTCAGGTGAAGGTTACTGATCCCACAGCACTGTTCGAAATGGGAAGGGAGATTCTCCTAATGTTCTGGCCAATAATCCCTCGATTAAAATTGGTCACTCTTAGTTTGGCTAGGACACCAGGAGAAACTCCCTTGACATTTTCCAACAAAATGCCATGGGATTTTTTAACATCCACCTAACAGGCAGACGGGATCTCGGTTTTAAAGTTTCATCCAAAGGATGAAACCTCTGACAGTGCAGCATTCCCCTAGCATTGCATCTCAAAATCCCGATGTGAGGCTTGAATCCACAACCTTCTGATTCAGGGCTGAGAGTGCTGCTGACTGAGCCAGGCTAACAACCACCACAACAACAACAACAAAATTACATTTATGGAGCGCCTTTCACATCGGGAGGACGTCCCAAAGCACTGGACAGTCAGGTGTCGGGGCTCGAGCATGGGGGAGGGGTGGTGTAGGAATGAGGGAAGGCAAAGAGATGGGAGGGTGACCAAAGGCACGGTCGAAGAGAAGGGTCTTCAGACTGGCCTTGAAGGAGGCAAAGGAGGAAGCGAGGCGAAGGGACTGTGGGATGGAGTTCCAGAGTGTGGGGGCAGAGAGGCTGAAAGCCCGGCCACCGATGGTAGGGCGGGTCGAGTGGGAGACATGGAGCAAAGCGGAGCCCGCTGAACAGAGGGAGCGGGCAGGTTAGTAGGGAGTCAGCAGGTCAGAGAGGTAGGAGGGGACAAGGCCATGGATGGTCTTAAAAGTGAGGACGAGGATCTTGAACTCGATCCTCTGGGGGATGGGGAGCCAGTGGAGTCGGGCAAGGGTGGGTGTGATGGGGTCACACATAGACTGAAACTGTTAAGATAGTCACCTAAAGACATGGAAGATACCTGGACAGATGATTCCGTTATCCCAGCATCCCATTTGGTAAAAGTGTATTCCACGTGCAAATGTAAAGTAGTGAAGGAAATACTGAAACAAAATCAAACAAAAAATTGTGGTTTATTAGTCCTGGGCATGCTGCACTTGGCTCTGACTATTGATGAGCTAAGCTTTTGCTGGTAATACATGTTTGGATCAATTCCTATATCAATATATTTGTATTTAAGTCTTGCCAGGCTTTGTTGAAAGTTCCGTGAATACCACTTGTCAGTCATTGCTGGCTTCATGTGTGCACTATAATAACAATAATAATCCTTACATTTGATACAGCACCTTATCACGTCTTCGAGATGTCTCAAAGGGCTTCACAGAATACACTGTAAAGTGAATTCACTGTATATTTTTTGGGTGAAACGCAGTGCACTCCCCGGAAACTAGCACATACACAGCCTGAGTTAAGTGGAAGCGCAGGAAAGGTGAATTGGAAGGGCTTTTTTATTGACTGTCCCTCCTCTCCTGGGGAGCTTGTGCGTTCACTTCACTTCACACCTCCACACATGGTGCCAACTGAGATGTAGAAGCCATCACATGTGCAATTCGCAGTGATTTTAAATAGGATCGAGAGGTATGCTGGATTAGCAGTGCTGGAACTGTATTAGCTCCACCGCCATTTACAGCGCTTACTGAGCTCCCTGTTCTGTTCATCCTCAGAGGCTTTGGTGACTTTAGTTTGCCCTTCTCTGCCAGTCATTTTTGGCACAGTCAGTTGCACTCTCACCTTTGAGTCAGAAGCTCATGGGTTCAAGCCTCCACATCAGGATTTTGAACGAGTCTCATGGGGTGTTCCTCAGGTCGCTGACCTTGGTCCCTCCTCTTCAATATCACCCCCATCTTCACCCAACTCCACTGGCTTCCCATCACACAAAGGATACAGTTCAAGATCCTAGTCTTCACCTTCAGAGCCCTCCATGGCCTTGCTCATCCCTACCTCTGCGACCTCCTAACCTCCTCCCATCCTGCCCTCTCCCTCCGTTCAGTGGGCTCCAGCCTGCTTCACATACTTCGCCTCGCCCACCCCACCATTCTGCCACTCTGCCCCACCCTCTGGAACTCCATCCTATAGTGCCTCCACCTTGTCCCCTCCCTTGCCTCCTTCAATCCCATCTCAAGACCCTGCTCTTCGATTACTCTGCTTCCCCCTCTGCCCTCCACCCTCCCCAATCCTGCCCCCAGCTCAGGTCGAAAACACTGACTTTCAAGTGCCTTGCGACATCCTCCCAATGTGAAAGGCGCTATACAAATGTAATTTTGTTGTTGTTGTTGTAGTGTAAGCTGACACTCCAGTGCGGTGCTGGGGAGCATTGTATTGTTGGAGGTGTCGTCCTTCAGGTGAAACTTTAAACAGAGGTACCGTCTGCCTCTTCTAGTAGATGTTAAAGATCCCGTGTCACTAACTGAAAAGAAAAAAAGAGTTTCTCCCAGTAACCGAGCTAACAATCCCTCATTTCCCGTTGTGGCTGTTTGGTGGCACAAATTGGCTGCCACGTTGATTTTCAAATACAGAGTCACTTTGCAGTAAATCCTGAAACATTTCAATAACATGATCAGGTGTTATAATAGATGCGAGCATTATTATTTATTACTATGCTATTGCAGTTTAAATCACTCCGTAGAGGTAGTTTCTAAGTGGTTTTCAGCGATTGTTCAGCCAGACCAATAACACTGCCATGCAACATATGAATGGATGTTATTTTTCTTAGTATGTTTAAACTTCATAAATAGTTATCTTTTGCAGGAGGTTAATATTTTGATTGATAACAATACTACATGTATTTACATAATATTATTTTCATAATAATCATGATATTGGAGTCCTGTAGATCAGTGGTTAGACCACTCGCTTTGCAAGCGAGAGACCTGAGTTCAATTCCAGGCAGGTCAGGGCGAGACCTTGGGCAAGTTTCCTTACTCCACACAGAGCCTAATAATAATCCCTCCGAAACCAAAAACAATAATAAATTGGTCATTTTCAATCTACGACTGTTTGTGGGACATTGCTTTGCGCAATTGGCTGCCGCGTTCGCCCACAAATATACAGTCAATTCACTTTACAGTCTATTCTGTGAAGCGCTTTGGGACGTCCTCCTGACGCGAAAAGTGCTATATCAAATGCAAGGATTATTATTATTTTGTTCACCGGGTAGTTTGTCAAGGCATTTCTGAATAGTTTCATTAACAGTTCCGGTTGCACCGATGATGATAGGAACTATGTTTGTTTTACATCACCACATACATCCGCACTCAATTTGTAGATTGATATATTTCCTAATCTTCTCCATTTCCTTATTTCTTACATTGTAATCACTTTGGATAGCCACGTCAACAAATACTACATGTATTTACATAATATTATTTTCATAATAAATAATAATTATAATTATTATTTCACAGAAGTGAAGAGTTCTATTTGAGAGGAAGGAGCGAGGAATTTTGCACTTTTGCTAGTAGTCGAAAATGAGCATTAAAGTACTCGAAAAACAACTGTATATTTACCAATGATATTGAACCTGTGGGGGGGAAGAGGGAGACATTTTGAAATGTGACCTATTTTTCGTAAGCTGTCAGTAACAGACATCCATAGGTGTTTACAGTTCTAATAATCCCTCAAGAAAAAAAAACAATAATAATTTGGTCACTTCAATCCACGTTTGTGGGACACTGCTCTGCACAATTGGCTGCCGTGTTTCGCCCAGAAAAATGCAGTCAATTCACTTTACAGTATATTCTGTGAAGCGCTTTGAGACGTCTAGAAGATGTGAAAAGCTCTATATCAAAGTCAACGATTATTATTTTTATTATTAATTTGAGTTACTGTTCCAACCATTGTCTCATTTTACTGAGAACCAGTGACTTCTTAGTCTTGGCTGGAAATCCAGTACAGTGCTGAGGGTGCACTGCATTGTCAGAGGCTCCGTCCTTTGGATGAGACATCAAACCAAGGTTTCCATTTACTTGTTCGTGAGCTCCTTCAAAGATCCCATGGCACTACTCGGAGAGAGGGTAGATTGTCTCCCGGTGTCTTGGCCAACAATCCCATGGATGAACTGATCATTCACTTCATAACTAGTTGTGGGCTTGGCTAGCTGCTGCATTTATTGCATGTAACGGTAATTTCTATGAAGCGCTTTAAGACATTTGACATTATAAGTGCAAAAGTGGGTCTCTGGTCTCAAGCATCCGGGACCCTACCCGCGGGAAGGGCACTATAGACATGCAAGTTGTCATTGTCTTGTGGGTCTGGTTGTGCAGCCCGTGTCATGAGAGACTCTGTTTATTACCAATAGCTCTGCATCATTTGTTCAGGATGTATCCTTCAATCCCCTGCATTGCTTGCAGGGGATTGAAGGATACGTATGTATGAGAGATGTTTTCTTGTTTTGGTCTAGGTATGCTTAAAAGAGCGAACATAAGGAAAGACGCAGACAAAGATACGATGGAAAGGAAAAGGAAGGAAGGGGATGAGAGCATGGTGTCTGCCACGGCAAAGAAAAGTAAAAAGGTGATGCAAGCAAATCGCAAGATTGATTCAGATGAACAAGGCTCTTGGCCCTTTTGATCTCATCCCTGCAGAATACCCACCCAAACATCTTCCAATCATGGCATCAAGCTGTGCTTTACATGAATGCCAGTGTCCTGGCCTCAACCTCCCTTCTTGATAGAACATCAACAACAACAATGTGTACCATAAAGTGATATCCATTCACACATTGCATTTAACCCCACCATAAAAAACCTGTCGCAAATTGGGATTAGACTTTAACACAGTTGTTCCTACAGACTTTTTCCACCAAGTTCCTGATCCTCTCCCTGACCCACTTGTCAATGTTCTCGCTGAGTCTTAAGACGACATTGTTCCTTTGACAAGAGCTTGGAGAATAATGCGGCAATTAGGCGAGTCAGCCTTCCCTTCCACCAGCGGCCTATCCCAGCATGTAGTCAACCTTGAAAGCTGTCAGACTGAATGCGCGACTCACCTGTTAAACCAAGTGTAAACCCAATGCAGTTTGCGTCACTAACCACAGAAGTAGCCGTTGACTGCTATAAATAGTAGTGCCGAAATATTAATTGCAGCTGAGTGATGTAACTGGGAAATTATTGCACTGGAGAGACCGGAAATGGCTGTTCAGCTGTAATTACCCAAACTCTGACAGTCTGAAGCACTTTGTAGGCAGCATTTCTTTACACCTTTTTTGTTTAAAAACATTTTTAATGGCCTTTGCAAACGTTCTAACCAAGGGGAGCGGCTTCCAGAGATGGTTCTGATTGCTTCTCCGACACACTTGCACAAACAAAGAGTGCTGAAGAGGAGCAGGAACCCCAGCTGTTTTTTCCTTCCCTAACCCTGGGAAGGCCTGGGCTAGTTTAGCCTTCCCAAGCAGCCCCTGGCTGAAACCAACAAACCTAGCATTCGAACCAGCAAGCTCCTGGATCTGTAAGCTCCTTCCACTACACAAAGGGGCTTGCCCTTTTTCGAGCAACCTCGAACCTGGGATTTGAGGTATTAGCATCTCGTCTGGTGGCCCTCACTAGATCCTCTCAATGGAAAGCACCCTAATACATAGAACTGTTGTATTGTGGAGTCCATTAATGTAGTGGTTAGCCCTCTCACCCTGCAAGTGAGAGAACCTGGGTTTGATTCCCAGGTGGGGTGAAACCTTAGGCAAGTTCCTTACTCTACTGTTTACCTAGCAATAAGTAAGAACTAGGTTGTTTATCGATTGGCAGATCGCTTTCCAAGGAAAAGAATCCCTCCGGACCCCCCCCTCACCCCCCAAAATTGGTCACTCAATCAACAACTGTTTGTGGGACAATCCTGTGTGCAATTGGATGTTGCATTTCGCCCACACAATACAGTGTCAAACCACTTTACAATACACTCACTGAAGTGCTTTGAGATGTCTCAACGACGTGATAAAGCACAGTCTCAAATGCAAGGACTGTTATTATAACTGTTAGTCAAGCAGTTTGCAGGTTTCTAACACGGTTAAAACATTTGCTTTACTTTCTAGCAAATAGAATGTTTCTTAGATCCAGAGGTGGAGGAAGAAACAGTTCAGCAACCTCCGACCAAGACGAGGAGACGGAGAAAGGTAACAGAGCGAAAGCACTAGGATTGCAAACACCTGCACATGATACAAGTTTGTTTCCAGAGAGAAAGCTTTGGTCAGTCTGGCTCGGTTGGTAGCACTTTCACCTCTCAAGTTGGATAGTTATGGATTCAAACCCCACATATGGATTTTGAGCTCACTGTCTGGGCTGACACTCCAGTGCAATGCTAGGGGAGCACTGTATTATTGTAGCTGCCGTTCTTCGGATTAGACACTGAACGAAGGTCCCATCTGCCTGTTCAGGTGGACATTAAAGATTCCATGATAAATTGGCTATCGTGTTTGTCCACAAAATACAATCACTTCCCTTTACAATGTATCCTGTGAAGTGCATTGAGCTGTCCTGACGTGAAAGCTATTTTACCAAATTAAAGGATTATTATTATTATTATGTTAATACAATTTAAATCTAAGTGGTTTTCAGTGATGGATCAACCAGATCAATAACACTGACAAAGTTACATGTGAATGGATGTTACTTTTCTTAGTATGTTTGAGCTTCCAAAAATAACTAATTTTTGTAGGAGGTTATTTTATTCATTATTATTATTACATCAAACACAAAGGTTATTATTATATCAAGCACAAGGATCATTATTATTATTGTATCAAACACATATATTATTTTATTATTCCATTAATGTTGTTGATCTGTTTGCTTTCAATATAGAAGAAGATCTCTGATGTTCTGGCAGACAGTGCCCCCAAGCCTGCTACCTCTGACGATTTGCAGAATCTGATTGTCCAGCATTTCAAAGGCGAACGGTCTGTCATTGAACTGGAAGCAATGAAGCTGCCAGGTACACAGTTATTTATCCATCACACAGCTCACTATCCAGTACAGAACACACTGTCCAGCAAGCTTTCACCCTTGTCACGCGAGCTTTGAGACCTTTGCCTCTATTCTCCTGAGATCCCGCCGCCTCGCTCCCTCAGCCTCTCTGCCCCTCTCCCTCCTTGTCCACCTTCAAAACTCGCTTTAAAATCTACATCTCCAACCCTGCTTTCAGCCTCCTTTTCCCCCTTCCTTCCTAAGTACCTTACCCTTCCACCAGCTTGGCTCCTAGTCAGTCGCATGAAGGGCTTTGAGACATCCTCCCAACATGAAAAGCGCGATACAAATAATAATAATAATAAGAAGAAGAAGAAGAAAAATCATTGCATTTGACATGGCGCCTTATCACGTTTTCGAGACGTCTCAAAGCATTTCATACAAATGTAAATTGTTCTTGTTTTGTAGATGTTTGGAATGCAAATTTAAATTGAATATTTGTTTAAAAATAGGATTCTGTGTTTTCTTTAGAAAAACAAATTTGGCATTTTGAAAGACACCTCTGCAGCTAACTAGTGGAGGAAAGTTGGGGTTTGTTTTGAAGCTTGTGGGGATGTGCTTTTTTCGTGTCAAACATTTTATGTGCATTTTCAGATTCCTGTTTCCTTCAGAGCAATGACCTCACGCACACTCTGTCTTCCTACCTGAAACAAGGTAAGTGGGTTACAACAATAAATTATGTTTATATTGCACCTTTCACGTCAGAAGTATGTCCCTCGGCGCTGAAGCTACCACTAATGAATGCACACCTTATGTACACTACACATACGGTGTGCGGGCTGTGAAGACATCCTTCACGTCTCCATACTTGTGTCGGCATAAGAGCTTCAATTTCTTAATAGAAATCGACAGATCTCAGCCTCTCCTAATAGTTTGGGTAACAAAGCCTTTGCCTGATGGGGAAGTGATTGATAGAAACTCAGATGTCTCCAATATGACTTATGGCCTGGGTTGAGGTTGATTGCTCTCAGTTGGGGCAGGAGTGGGGTGTTGTGTTTAGCTTCAGTGCACCTGGGATGGAGGGGGGAAAAAAATATCAATCAGCGTTTACATTCCTGATCATTGTTCATATCCCCTCTGTTCGAAAATGCATCTTTATAGAATGTTGGATGTATGATTGAGGCACGAAGGAGCTCATGTGTTCACTGAACCGCACTGCACATGGGCGTCCAAGTAAAATTGATCATTCAATCTATGTTTTTTGTGAGCCATTGCTGCGCACAAATTGGCTGCCGTGTTTGCCCACGAAACACACAGTCATTGCACTTTACAGTAAATCCTGTTTGGAACATCCTCCTGACGTGAAAGGTATTATACCAAATGTAAGGATTATTATTATTATTAATTGTACCGCATTTCCAGTAAACAGTAAACAGGTCAATCGCACTATAACTAGACCACGAGGTACACACCTGCCTTAATATGGTCCCCTCTGAGATTCCATGTTAAGATGGAATCCAGAGGCAGTCTTAAACCTTATCACATGCATTTACCTGGATTGAATTTTGTTTTTCTGAATACTTGGTCAAGATGAAATGATTGTGGATAGCTGAATCAAATGGGATGTTTAAAGGGAGATGCATACTTGGGAGGTAAAGAGATTAATGGGGAAGTGGGATTAAAAGATCTGTTTACGATCGAAGAAACTGACGAGATGGGCTGAATGGCCTCCTCCCGTGTTCCCTCTTTGGGCAGTTTGAAATTGCTTTGAAATAGTTGATAGGTTTTCCGAACATTATGATTGATCGCTAATGCATAAGTGTTTGGGAATGATGTCTGTCTGCCCGTCTGCAGTCTGTCCCAAGTGGGTGAAGCTGTCCAAGAGCCACACAGAGAAGAAATCCGTGCTGATGTTAATCATGTGTAGCTCTGCCCTCCGAGCCCTCAAACTCATCAGGTGAGTCACACAAATCAATTCAAAAGAGCCAAGGGCAGTTACCCCTGAGGCTTGAGTGTGATGGGGTTACTGCATATTTGAAGATTTTTTAGAGGATTTTTGAAACCAGAGAGAGAGGGAGTGAGGTGGATGCATTTTGGGAGGGAGTTGCAGAGAGCTGGGCTATGGTGGCTGAAATAAAGCAGCAAAACACACACCTGTCCCAGGTTTCTCTTCTCCTGTGCTGAACCAGAAGAACTTTTGACCTTTGAAAGTTGACTCCTGTTCTGGCCCTCAACCCAGCCCAACCGAGCTCAGCCCAGCATACCTGAAAAAAATAATAATATTAAATTGTTTAGTCAATCCATGACTGTTTGTGTGACACTGTTCTGCGCAATTGGCTGCTGTGTTTCACCCACAAAAAGTACTGTAAATTCACCTCCCGACGTGAAAGGAGCTATACAAATATAATCTTGTTGTTGTTGATGTTGTTTACAGTATATTCTGTGAAGGCCTTTGAGACGTCTCAAAGACGTGATAAGGTGCTATATCAAATGCAAGGATTATTATTATTATTATTAGGCATTTGCACACCTCCCAGCAACCAACACAAACCTGCAGACTAGAGGAGAGGGCAAAAGAGAAAGAGAGAGCGCGAGAAACTGAAACCTGACTATACTCACAGATGTTAATAATATCAGGAGTGTATCAAGTTCATTGATTTCAAGGAACCTAAGTATCTATAGTAGCAGTTGTGCTGATAGGACTATTTGATGTATCTCTAGTGTTTTCTCCTTATTAACTGTGTTGATGTTTATTGTCAGAAGTCGACGGGGAAGTTGAAACTGTGGGATTGGGATTGTGATTCCTCAGTGGATCTACCAACACAGTAGCAGAATGGGCTAATATAACAGCATAGTTTTGGGACTATTTCAGCCTCCACCTCCCTGATCCGAACCTTCCTGCTCTGGGCCAAATTCCTGACTGTCCCGCGCCTTGAGACATCCTCTTGACATGAAAGACGTTATACAAATGTAATTTTGTATTTGTATCTGTATGATTGTACCTTGTTTGTTCTGGCAGGATGCTGTCGGCCTTTAAAAGTGACTCTAAGACTCTGAAGTTGTTTGCAAAACACATCAAGGTAAATGTGAATACATTGATGTCACCAGCTGGGAATTTGCCATGTTGTGGTAACAGTTAATCTTTACTAGGTAATATGTGATCAAGTAGGTTTTAAATTGTATCCTGATTTCACGAGTTGCTATTGGGATTCAGAGTGTAAGTGGACTCAGTGGTGACACCTGGAGCAGATCAGCTGAACTCTGGCATTAGAGGCTTCTTAGTGTGTTTATAAAATACAGTAAAACTGCATTACCTCTGTCAGCCTGGTGCAGTTAGTAGCACTCTAGCCTCTGTATCATAAGGTTGTGGGTTCAACTCACATAGTCTAAGCTGACATTCCAATGCAGTGTTGGCGAACATTGGAGACCCTGTACTTCAGATGAGATGTTAAACTGAAAGATCCTATCCGCTGGTTCAGGTAGATGGCAAAGATTCCATGCCACTATTTGAAAAGAGAAGGGAATTTCTCAGGGTGTCCTGGCCACCAATTATCTACAGTAAGAGTGTAATAATGTGCTATGTGCAAAAGCAGCTTTATTACATATCACGTGTTAACACATGTGTACAGAGGGAAATACAGACACTCTCAATGATATAAGTAGCAATGAATGAAAAGGATTTATGAATTACATAATTATTCTTTTTCATGGCATTACGTAGCCCATAATACTGCTGTGCTTACACCTAGTTTACGTGAACAACCAATGTCAAAATTGCTACATATCGTAGCAAACATATTGTTATTTCCAGGTTGCCACAGACCCTTTTGCTGGAGGAATACTTTCTCTGCTGGATCCCAGGCTTAGCTCTATTTCAAAGAAACGTGGAGTTTTTCTCTCCTGGATATCCTGTTTTATGTTCCCACATTATCCAAATTCACCAAATTCCCTGTTTGTTCATTGCATCGATTCCCAGTCACCCAGGACACCTGTTACACTGGGTGGGCCAATGGACCTATTAAGCATGGTATCTGCTCAGCAGCGTTGCATCTTATTATTGGTGTTTTGTTTTGTTTCCAGATAGAAGAACAGGTCAAGTTGCTGTCGAGCGGTGTTGTCCATCTTGGTGTGGGAACTCCAGGGCGCATTAGAAGTCTGATAGATCAAGGTATGGATAAATACAACCACGTGCTCTTTAATTCTGTCTCTCTAACTCGTTTCGGTTCAATTCAGAAAGCTGCCAGTTATCGCATGTTTTAAGTTGGTCAGCCAAGAATCTTGAAGGAAGTTTGGTAGCACTCTTTCCTTTGACTCAGAATGTTCTCAGGGCTTTGAACTCACAGTCTATTAATCTCCTAAATTAAAGTACAGACTGATAAGTAGAAATAAATGTATGATTTTAATCATAATAGGTGCAGTAACTAAACTGTACTACAAAGTCAACTTTTACAAGTAGCTGGGCTCTTTGCTGTAATGATTCTTGTGAGGAATATGACACAATTTATATAGCCTTTCACACCAAGAGGACGTCTCAAAGTGCTTCACAGTGCTGCATGGGTCCCCAAGTTGGGGGTGGGAACTTAGGGAGCTGAGGAGGGGAAAGATGACTGAATGCATAGTCAAAGACGTTTGTTTCCTTGGAAGGCATTAAGATGGGAGTTAAGTCAATGGCAATAAATGCTAACTCACAGTTCTTATCCTAGATGCACTCAGTCTGCAGTCTCTGAAGTACATGATCCTGGATTGGAATTGGCGTGACCAGAAACTTAGAAAAATGATGGATATTCCAGAGGTAATTATCATTTTCTAACATGCAAGCAGACATATGTATCTTTGTACCGTAAGAACTGGTATAGACCATTTCACTCCATCAAGTAGATTTTGACATTTTATTAAATTGTGGCAGATCATGTTTTAATCTAATTTCACTGCCTTTTCTCCAAAACCATAATCTCCTAGGCCCTAAATTATCAAATACCTATGTACCTCTTTTGGACGTTAAACTAAAGTCCATCTGCTAGTTCAGGTGGACGTTAAAGATCCCAAGGCACTATTTGAAAAGATAAGGGAGTTTCTCTCCCAGTTCTGGCCAACAATTCCCCAGATTAACTTGGTCATTCACTTTATGGGTGTTTGTGGGAAATTGCTCTGCACAAATTGCCGATTCTATTTGCCTACAAAAACACAGTCAATACTTTTCACAGTAGAGAGGAGCTTTGAGAAGCGTTAACAATGTGATAAGGTGCTTTATTGAATGTAACGATTTTTATTATTGTTGTTATTTATAGGTGTAAACAGTTATGGCCTACAAACAGCCAAGAAGTGAATGACCAAATTATATCTGAAGAATTGTTAGCCAGGATACCAGGAGAAACTCCTTTCTAATTTTAAATTAGAGTGGAGTCCTGTAGCTCAGTGGTTAGAGCACTCGATTTGCAAGTGAGAGACCTGAGTTCAATTCCAGGCAGGTCAGGGCGAAACCTTGGGCAAGTTTCCTTACTCCACACAGAGCCTAATAATAATCCCTCCAAAAAAAAAAACAATAATAAATTGGTCATTTTCAATCCACGACTGTTTGTGGGACATTGCTGTGCGCAATTGGCTGTCGCGTTCGCCCACAAATATACAGTCAATTCACTTTACAGTGTGTTCTGTGAAGCGCTTTGGGACGTCCTCCCGACGTGAAAAGCGCTATATCAAATGCAAGGATTATTATTATTATTATTAAATTGTGTCATGATTTTGTTGACATCCAGGTGACAGGACCTCAAGTTAACATTTCAGTTGACCGAGAGCATCTCTGACAATGCAGGAATTCCCCAAGGGGGACTGCACTGGAGTATTAGCCAGATTGAGCGCAAAGTCCCTGACATGAGATTTTAACCCAAAAGGTGACCCAAGAGGCAAGTGCTCTACTGTCAAGCAGGACACTTAACTCTACCATTAAATTGAAAGACGTTAATGCTGCAGATTATTGTCCCAGGAGATTCCTCGTGGGTTAAACTGTGATTATTTCTCTCCTAAACTCAACTGTTTGCTTTCTTTAAATATGTACAATGTTTCACAGGCAACATATACCTATACGTATATGAATTATACATATCCTGACAATTTAAGAGCAAGAGTTGTCTGTGTGAAATATAGCTCTCAAAGCAAAGGCGAGCAATAAATCTGCAATCCCCAGACCCCATCTATCTCCCAACCTGCGCATTTGAAATTGATGTATGTCAGGTACGCACCCAATGCAGGGATTTTGTTTTCTTTGGAAAACTGAGCAGGTGGATGGGGTCATATCTCGAAGCAGACTCATGGAGTATAAACACTGACATGGACTAGTTGGGCCAAATGGCCTGTTTCCATGCTGTGCATTCTTTACAAATCATTGTAATTCTTTGCAAAGCGATTCACAAGAATTACTGTAAAGTGCAGTGACTGTGTATTTTGTAGGCAAACCTGGCAACCAATTTGCGCACAGCAATGTCCTACCAACAGCCATGGAGTGAGTGATTGATTTTATCTGGGTGATTGTTATCTCAGCCGACCTCAGTTTTGACTTGTCAAAAGCGCCTCCCGGTGTCTTAGGAGGAGGTCAGGGTCTGAAACCTGCCGTTCACGTGTCCTTTTGCGAGTCTAGCAAATTAGACCACACTGACTGTAAATGCGCAGTAGAAATAGGAACAGTGCATTGAAGCTATCTGCCTGGGCAAGGCTTGAGCGACCATACACGGACTGAACCTAATTCTGATTTTCTTTCACATCTTTCAGGTTAAAAAGGAAACGCTGTTGATGCTGGAGACGAGCATCATATCTGCCTGTCAATCAGGGTCTGTCAAACTGGGTCTTTTCTAATACAAAATGTCATTCGCCAAGAAAAGGCTTGCTTACATCTGTGTGGAAACAGAACAATTGGCGTCAGGGTCTGAAACGCAGCGATTTCTAGTGGGATTCTTTGGTAAGGAACTCTTTTCTGACCTGATCTACTCCCAGAGCTGAATTTCCGCAGATGGAAGTTACGGTAGTTACAGGCGCTGGAAAGAGTCCCCATTTGCAACACGGAATTCGTGTTAAGGAATCCGATTAGAAATCATTACATTTTATACCCTTTCCCCCAGTGTTAAATTGTTTTAAATTGTACTCCTGTAATAAATAAATCATAAAACATTCTTAATACCTTGTGTGTTGTGGTTTCTTTTTGTTGCTCTTTGTAACAGAATTCACAGTCTTGAACACTGAAAAATCCCTTCTCGCTTTATTGAATGAGTTATTCCTGAAGAGGAGTGAATGATTGGTAGAAAACCACGGCAGCAAATCTGCAAACAGCAGTAAGGACAGATTGTTTCTAGTGAGTTTATAATAATAACAATCCTTACATGTGATACAGCATCTTATTGCATTGTCAAAACTTCTCAAAGCACTTCACAAGATTTACAGTGAAACGACTGTAAGGCAAATGCAGCAGCCAATTTTTACATAGCAATGTTCCCCAAGCAGCCATGAAATGAATGACCAATTTTATCTGGGGGATTGTTGGTCCAGGAGACGTATAGGAAATGTAGGAGAAACTCCCTTCTCTTTTCGAGTAGTGCCATGGGAGCCGAGAACTCAGTCTAACCTAGGACCTAAGTCTGAAGAGTTGAACGTCTCGATGTGGGGTTTGAACCCCCAACCTACTGACTCAGAGAGCGGAGCCAAATTGACACCTGAGTTTGGATGAGGAAGGTATATTTGCCAATGCCACCTAATAAACTCTGTTATAGTTACACTCCATAATAGTATCATTGCATCTATCTGATCAACAGAACAGATAGATGGAATCTGGGTTTGAATGCCTCGTCTGAACGTTTTAACTTTAAACAATAAGTTTTATTCGGTTTAGGAGTTAAGTCTCTAATTGAAGTTCTCACCACATTCAATATGCTTAGTTTACCACTTACCATATTTAATGCAACACCCTATTATGTTCAACAATTCGACTCGAAATCTTAACACATCATTTCATTCATCGTGCTGTGCGTTAATCGCAGGTCTGATATGTTGTACAAATCTTTCACTGATTTGTACAGAAATCATTCATCATGTGTGGGTTTGCAGAAAAACAAATGCACTCTAAATTCAAGTTTAGTCAAATAAATATGGGAGATATAGATGGATGGCTTGTAATCCACAGCTTTCATGTCACGAGGATGTTTCGAAGCACTTCGCAGGATATACTCTAAAGTGTACTGACTGTGTGTTTTGTGGGTGAATGCAGCAGCCAATTTGTGCACAGCAATATCCCCAAAACAGCCATGAAGTGAATGACCAATTTTATTTCGGGGATTGTTGAGGAGGACACTGGGAGAAACTCCCCTTCTCATGCCATGGGATCTTTAATGTCCACCTGAACAGGCAGATGGTTTAATGTCTCATCCAAAGGACAGCACCTCCAACAATGCAGCACATTCCCACACTATATTTGAGTGTTAGTCAAGATTTTGCAGATGAATTAGAAGAAAAGGATAGAAAGTATTGGACCGTCATCTTAAACTGTATGAGTTCAAAGTCCTGACACGGAGCTTTGTATTGAACACTTTGGTGAATGTGACCGGACAGAGGGAGAGAATACATGAGTGAGCAGGGAATAAAGGGGTACAGGGAGTGGTGGAGACTCCTTGTGTGGACCAGGTGTGCTAAATGGCTTATTCTGTGCTGTGTAGTCTATGCAGTTCTACATAACACAGCTCAGCAACTTAAAGTGAACGATAGACATGGAAAAGCTACTTAGTGTTCTTTGAGGTGGATTTAATGGTCCAATAATACTGTGATCTGGCTTCAAATCCAGGCAGGTGGGGGAGCAGGCAAGGAAGCCAGCTGTGGGAACATACAGGTTCATGAGTGGAGGAAAAATGGCTTTGCAAGCCAGTAATTCTGTGACTGGGTTTTGATGATGTTATAAAGGCAGATTGAAGCATGAGAAGTTCATTACAGTCTCCTCTGCAGTCTGAGATTGGATTATAGCCTTGACGTCGCTGGTCAGCATCTCTTGTTAATAAAGTGTACTTTTACAAATGTAAGTGGGAAATTATTCTGCTTTTGGTTTGTCTGGGTGCCAACAGTGGCTGTCTGCGTGTTTTGGCGTCTTAATTTAAATATATATTTCCGTGCGCCCCATGTCAGCGCCAAACATTCCCTTGCCATGTATGACCTAATGAATGGAGACAGGATGATGCCCTCCAGTGATTGTAGGCTGTACACGAAAGGTAAACAAATCTGTCAAACGATTCTACAGCAGTTACCTATTAGTCAATGTTTCCTAAATGCGTCATACAGAACTTCATGGCTTGCCCTTGTAACCCAACAGGATGTCTGATCGTCTTGAACTGCACTAAGAGAGAAATATATATTTTTTAAAAATGCATTTTTTAGCACCTTCTCATGTGGAAACGTCTCAAAGAGGGTTTGAGCCCTCAAGTTTCTGGCCAAGAGACAAGAGTGCTACCAACTGAACCAAGCTGGAACCATGTCAAGATGCTTTGTATTATTATTATTATAATAATAAAAATATTCCTTACATTTCATGAAAGTGGATGTCTCAAAGCGTTTCACAGAATTTACTGTAAAGTGATGACTACATTTTGTAAGTGAACCAAGCAGCCAATTTGCATAAAGTAGTGTCGCACATACAGTCACAAAATGAATCACCAATTTTATCTGGGGAGAATTTCGGGTTGGAGAAAAGGGTGAAAATCCCTTCTCTTTTCAAACAGAGTTGTGGGATCTCTTTATCGCCCACCTGAGCAGGCAGACGTGACCTTGGCTTAACGTCTCACCCAAAAGATTATCACACAAGTTGAGGTGGGAGGGGGAGTCCCTAATGACCCAAATGCTAATGATGAGACTTGTATGGGGTCTGCGTGATGCATTTAAGAACCCTGTAAATCTCAACTAATAGGAAACGGCTGTAGAAATGTTCGACGTATGTATTTCTTTATCTTTCATGTGCGGTACCTGCGGTGACCTGACTCATGTCCCACATGTGCATTTTCTGTTGAAAAACTAAAACAAACCATGGAAGCACATTTTCCAGCCCACTTGGGAAACAATAACATGGATATGATTTCACCTTCATCGATTGCAAATGTTTGAGAGATGTGATGTGACATTGAACATCACACTTTCAACCCTAATCGGGACTTCAAACTCATACAGTCCAGGCTCACACTCCAATGTGGTGCTTTAAGTGTGCCGTCCTTTGGATGAAATGTTAAACCAAGTTTCTCCCAGTAGCCTGGCCAACAATTTATCAATAAAATTGGTCACTCACTTCACAGTAAATCCAGTGGAGTGCTTTGACATGAAAGGGTCTACATCAATTGCGAGATTATATCATTGAATGAATTACAAACAGCTGATACTTTTTTTCGCCTGTAACTGGATTCTAATTTTAGACAACACAACTCTTTCTGTAGGAGGAGATCAATTGACTGCCATGTTTGCCAACAAAACATACAGGATCATACGTTAAACCGTGGTTCTGTCTGCCGGTCCAGATGAACATTAAGAATCCCATGGCACTATTTGAAAAGAGAAGGAAGTTTTTCCCAGTATCCTGTCCAACAATCGCCCAAATAAAGTCACTCAATGGTTGTTTGTTGGACATTGCAGTGCATAACTGGCTGCGGCATTTCCCCCACAAAATACACATTGAATTCACTTTACAGTATATCCTGCGAAGCTCTCTGAGCCATCTCGATGACGTGAAAAGGCACTAAATCATATTCAAGGATTATCATTATTATTACTTTACGACCTATCCTGTGAAACCTTTTGGGACACCCTCCCGAGAGATCAAGAATACGTACATTAGAACCAGTTCAGATAACCTCTGCCTACAAAATACACAATCACTGCACTTAAAAGTAAATCCATGGAGCTCCTTGAGGTGTTTTCCCATCATGAAAGATGCTCTATTATTATTATTGTTGTAAAAACAATTACACAGTCACTACACTAGATAATAATAGTTAATAATAATACTAATACTTTCCTTTAATATAGCACCTTTCACTCTGGAGGACGTCTCAAAAGCATTTTACAGAATATATTATTAAGTGTAGTGACTGTGTGTTTTATAGGCTAACACGGTAGCCAATTTGCACACAGCTATGAGGTGAATGACTGATTTTATTTGAGGGATTGCTGGCCAGGATACCAAGAGAAAATCCCTTCTCTCTTGATAGCAGATCATGACCATGGGACTCGGAACTTTGCAGGTGCTATATCAAATACAAAATTCCAAGTACGACTATTATTGTTATTATCACAATACTACCAGTCAGGGTAATGGTTTCAAGCTAGAGGGTACGAGGTTGAGAAGGAAGGTGTGTCTGAAATGTATGATTGTCAAACGGGGTAAAGTGAATCATTGCTAAAGTAGCTGGTAATCTGTCTGACCCAGAATCACACAATCCCAGCACAATGATCTATTGCACCATTTACACTAGGTCTGGTATTTTACAAGCCACTTGACACTACATTCTCTCTGCCTCTCTCTCCCCCTCTCCTTGCCTTTTATTGAAGCACTTAGAAAACATTTGTGGCCAGTTCAGAGTTTTGGTTGGTGCTCATTACAATGTAATCGTGGAGTGTTTCCTTACTTTTCCCTTTTATGTATTAATAAGCATTTATGTTTAAAGTGACAATCCGATCAGATGCAGCTTATAAATGATCGACCTTCACTTACTCCAGAACTGAGATATATTAATAATGCTAATAATCTTTTGCATTGATATAGCACCTGCAAATGTCCCAAGGCCTCAAAGGGTTTCATATGACGATTAGCTGTAGAAGAAGGAATTTTGTTCCTGTTTCCTGGCCAACAATCCCTCAAATAAAATTGGTCATTCACTTCATGGCTGTTGTGTTCACCTACAATATACATTGTCTGTACACTTAATGGTAGATCCTTTAAAGCACTTTTGAGACATTCTCCAGATTGAAAGTTGCTACATAATATATAATATAATAATAATCCTTGCATTTGATATAACGCTTTTCACGTCTTCTCAACGTCTCAAAGCGCTTCAGAGAATAGACTGTAAAGTGAATTGACTGTATATTTGCGGGCAAAACGCAGCAGCCAATTGCACACAGCAGTGTCCCACAAACAATCGTAGATTGAAAATGACCAATTTATAATTGTTTTTTGTTTTGGAGGGATTATTATTAGGCATGTGGAGTAAGGAAACTTGCCCAAGGTTTCGCCCAAGGTTTCACATCAAATAGAAGGATTATTATTATTAAATATTATTATGTAGTGCAGTGACTATTTATTGTTTTTTATTATAAAAGTAATGGAGCACCTTTCACAAGGGGAAAACTCCTCAAACGAATTTACAGGATTTATTATTATTAATAATTTACTGATAATAGTAAATCCTGTAAAGTCGTTTGAGGAGTTTATTAATTTATTTTTAAATTTATTAATAATAATATATACTAATAATGCTTGCATTTAACATAGTGCCTTATCACCCTGACAAGATGTCTCAAAGCGCTTTACAGAAAATACTGAAAATATTTTGTAAAATGCGGCAGCCAATTGCACACAGCAAATAAGAATAGTGACTGTGTATTTTGTGGGCGGAAAATCTGAACTGGTTCCAACATAAGTATTCCCGATCTCTAGAATAGGTGGCCGAAACAACCCATAAGTTAATAAGTAACTATGGGAGTATCAAAGGTTTCCAAGTTGTCGACACAGAACCGAGCCAAGTCGAGCAGAGCAGAAATCCTTGGTTGAAGCCTTGAGGTGCCATATAGATATAGAACAGTGGTTTTGTTACAGTCGTTGACAAAATTATGGGGAAAAAAGCTTCAAGGGAAAAAGATTCAAAGGAAAAAGGAGATACCGGTTTAGAGAGTGAGGATCTCTTGAACCAGCCAGATAATTCGGCTTTCAAACAGCAAAGACTTCCCGCATGGACTCCATTTCTAAATGCTAAAAACGTGCTGCCAACTATTTACATCACTGGAGTGTTCTGCATTAGCGTTGGGATCTTCCTGCTTGTGATCGACGGGAGAGTGAAAGAGTTTCAGGTCTGTACAGTGGGGTCACCGTTGAAACTCTCCTCTGGATATGGATTTATGTTTCCTAAGAAATAGCTAGCATAAGTGATAACCCTTAAGATTTACAAGTAAGAATCCACCCACATTTAATTGATTGGGTGTGATATCCCTGCCTGGTACAGCGTTTAAAACTGGGCCTTCCTAGGTGTGCCATTGAATGAGCAGCGACAAATCAAACCTTTTGTCCTTTCATTTTCCTTTCTATGTATTCAGTAAAACAGAAATGCACAAACTGATTAATCAAAGCGAACAAGATTTGACAGGCCTGCCTTCTTCAGAGAAGAATAAAGATGCTGAATGTTATTTTAAAATAATAGAAGTTCAAAAGCGGTTAAAAAGCGGTGAGAGTTCACTCTCACAAAGCTCGTTCTTCAAAGATTGCTCCTATGAACCTTGCTTTTTATTGAGCGAACCCTCCGTCGCAAGAGGTGCTGCTCTGATGTTAAATGCTGCCGTTTGCCATATTTAAGTGTTTACCCCAATAAATGTCTCGGCAAATCTATGCGTGTAAAGATTTTCACATTATTTGCACAATTTGGGGGCTGTGGTGGGGTGTGTGAATGTGGTTTTACACTGGTTTTAAAATTGCATTTTAAAAAGTTAAAATAATTTTTGAAAAACTATACATAAAATCTCTACACTTGGGTAGCTGAGCTGCCTAAATATTTAACTTATTATTAATAATAATACTGTCATTTGATATAGCACATTTCGCATCAGTAGAATGTTTCAAAGCTGGATAAACTGTAAAATGTAGTAACTGTGTAACTTGTGGGTGAAAGCAGCAGCGTATCTGTGCGCAGCAATGTCCCACAAACAGCCATGAAGTAAATGTCTAATTTTATTTGGGGGAATTGTTGGCAATGGTACTGGGAGAAACTCCTTCCTCTTTTCGAATGGTGCATTTGAACTTTAAATTATGGGGATTTAAAAAATAATAGAAATACATTATTAAGGCATTGTCCCTTGACTAGGAGAGCTGAGCTGGATTCCCAGCCTGCCCTGCCCTACCCTCTCAATATCAGATGCCCCTGGGAGCACCTCATGCAAGAAGCTCACAGACCTAAGATCATTATTCAGGTCCCATGTGCATTATTATTGAGGAAACACAGTTCTTCCCTCTGTTTGTTCTCAAAGGCCAGACGGGAACTGAAAGCCAAGCAGCGAGAATGTTCAGTAATCTCTCGATGCATGTCCTTTTAAGTAGTTAAATGGTTACTGACTATTAGAAGGGCACTAGTGTAACAATCTGTTCAGTGTTATGGTACTGATGGTTAATGTATCATATCTCATCCTCCCACCCCATTGCACTGAGATAGATCTTTTCCAGGTCCCTTCATCACTGCTGTAGATAATACAGGTTCTGTCACTGACGAGTGCCTCTCACTCAGTCAGTTGGATATAGTTTGCGGATTGTGCTAACCATGTGCACAGAGGGAATTACAGTTGCTCTCCATCATGTAGTTAACCAATTATTCCTTGCCAACAAATACGCAGTCATTAAACTTTACAGGAAAATCTTGAGAAGTGCTTTGAGAGACCTCGACATGATAAGGCGCAATATCAAATGCAAGGATTATTATTTATTTTAAGCGTGGCAGTGGATCACTGCGTGTGGTGTGGATTTTCAGCAGTGGATGTCTTTACCTTTAGCAATAATAAATTTGCGTCTGCCTGGAGATGGATGTGTCAATCGATGTTAACAGGGTGCTTCCTCTGTGATAGGTTGATTACACGGATGGAGCTTGTCAACACTGTAGCTTGTTGCGAGAGGACTGGCGCAATTGGACCAAACCGTGCACCTGTACCATAAACTTCACTCTGGAGGAAAGTTTCCAGGTAAGTTCCGCAAAACATCTATCTCGCTGAAGTTAATAGAAAGCATTATCCTAAATATACACACAAGGGATATAGGATGGTGTGGGAATGGGTATTGGGGGGAGTAAGGAGTGGGTGGAGATTCATGTGGAATATAAACACTGGCATGGACTGGTTGGAGCACAGAATTCACAGAATAATTCTGGTTACATCCAAGCCATGATGATTGTTTTGGAGCATATGCCCTTCGTATTTCCTGCAAAGTCAGGACACATGTCAGTCATTCTGACACCGCTTTTGTGACCTGCTTATTGGTTCAAACTTAATTTTAGTTGCTGCTAAGTGAGAGAAACTGCACGGCAAGTAACTGCAGACGCAATAACTGCATGTTGTAATACAAAACCAGAGAAAACGGGATCTCTCTGTTTCAAAGCCCTCACTGACACCAGGTCTACCAATTTGTTTAAAAGGGAATCAGCTGGATTGTTGGAAAATAATCAACTTGCATTTATAAGGGCCCTTTACGCAGGTGAGGGCTGCTCTGAACAATGGCATAGTTTGATGCTAAATCTGTACTTTTTGCAAAGAGAAAGCAGTTTCTCCCTGTGTCCTGGCCCAAAAAAAACAAATAAAATTGTTATTCACATCTTGGTGTTTGTGTGACATCGTTGAGTGCAAACTGGCTGCTACATTCGCCTACAAAATACACAGTCTCTCCAGTTTACAATAAATCCTGTGAAATGCTTTGAGACATCCTCCTAATGTGATAGGTGCTATAGTAATTGCAAGGGTTTCTTACGATATTGGAACTCGAGTTGCTGAGAGCATTGCTGCCACATACTGTTGATGTCTTTTTTTGGCTATAACTGAGATTTTATCAGGGGGCTAATGTGGACTCATGAACTAGCCCTGTGTCAGGAAATAAGATCCCTGTAGCCTGGGAGCAGCTTTGTGCAGAGATGACTCCAGTCAGTCTCCATAACACCTCTCCTCTATCTTCTCCAGTGAGTCAAGCAATCAGAGCATTGTGATACGTGGCACGATTAATCATTCCAGGGCACTGAAGAGAAAAAATAAATGAGCAACCAGTTTCAGATTGATCATAATCCTTATGTTTAATATAGCTTCAAAAGATTCTGAACAACATTACAGATAATTGCTGTCAAATGCAGTGTCTGTATTTCTAGGTGAACATAGATGAACAGTTTGTTCATAGCAAGGTTCTACAAATAGCCATGAAGTGAATGATCAATTTATGTGGGAGATTATATAGGACAACGGGAGAAACTCCCTGCTTATGCTGTTCTGCGGTCTTTAATAATAATAATAATATAATAATCCTTGTGTTTGATATAGTGCTTTTCACATCTTATAGACATCTCAAAGCGCTTCACAAAATATACCATAAAGTGAATTGATGTCTTTTTTGGCTCTAACTGTATTGACTCTATATTTTGTGGGCGAAACGCGGCAGCCAGTTGCGCACAGCCATGTCCCACAAACAGTCGTGGATTGAAGTGACCAAATTATTATTGTTTTTTTTCTTGAGGGATTATGATCAGGTGTGTGGAGTAAGGAAACTTGCCCTGCCGGGAATTGAACTCAGGCCTCTCGCTTGCGAGGCGAGTGCTCTAACCACTGAGCTACAGGACTCCACTTAATATCCACTTAAACAACAGAAAGACAGGTTCTTGGTTTAACATCTATATTTTAAGGATGGTATCTTCAACAGAACTTCCCCAGCCTGGACAGTAAGCTTAAGTGCGTGGCTGGAACCCACAACATCCTGACGCAGGGGAGACAGGACTATCAACAACAACAAATAACAACAACAAATTACATTTGTATGGTGCTTTTCACATCAGGAGGTGTCCCAAGGCGTTGGATAGTCAGGGATCCGCACCTGAGCTGGTGGTTGTGATTCAGGAGATGTGGAGGCGGGATAGTAGGGGTAGGAGGGTCACCTAAAGCACAGTCGAAGAGGAAAGTCTTGAGACAAGTCTTGAAGGAGGCAAGGGTGGGGGCGAGGTGGAGGGATTGTGGGATGGAGTTCCAGAGGGTGGGGGCAGAGACAAGCAGATACCTTTAGATTTCCCTTTGTACAACCTCAAGATCCCAGCATAGATAGTGCCTACAGTTGTTGGCGATGGTATGCACACACTCTCTCCCTTTGTCTAACCAATTGTCTCCTTCATGATTCCTCTCCAGGGTGATGTTTTCATGTATTATGGATTGAGAAACTACTACCAGAACCATCGACAGTATGGGATTTCCAGGGATAATGCACAGTTATTGGGATTACCAAGAAGATTAAAGGTACTGACCCTGACAATCGTTTATTCTTTGATACGTCCTCCTAGTATAAACATAAGAACATAAGAATTTGCCAGACAAAAGAAGAACAAGGTCCATCCAATTCGCCTTCCACCATCCTGGCAGTCGCATGCACATCTCACGCCCCAAACTAGATACTATATACTGAGAAGTTACTTCCTGAAAGGAATTGATCTAATTCGCTTTTGATAGAATCAAAACTTTCTGCTTCTGCCGTCTCCCAAGGGAGCCTATTCCATACATTTACAACTCACTCACTGAGATAGTATTTCCGTAGATTTGTTTTGAATTTACCCCCCCTTCAATTGCAGGCCATGTCCTCTGGTTCTAGATGCAAAATATGAAATGCATGGATTTTTTTTGAAAGTGTAAAATGGAAATGCTGCCACCCTGACGATAAACCTATCACGGCTTTGAACCCCAATATTCTGATTGTTGATATAGTGGAGCCTCGTTATAACGCAGTGCTTTAATCCGTAAAATGATTATAATCAGGTCTCCGCCAATGTCACTTCCTGTGCGCTGTGCGTGCGCAAATCAGGAACTGATGTCGGCGGCAACCTGATGACCTGGAAGTCAGCGTTTTTTACCATGCCCACTTCAAGGGGAAAAATATGTAAAATTTGAACAGACAAAATTGCAAAATACTACTCATCTCTAATCTCATCCCATCCTGCCCTATTCCCCTTCTCTTTCACCTTTATGTTGACTATCCAGTTATATATAGAAGCCCAAAGCCACCCATTCAATCCCACAGTTCCTCACCTGTCAGCTCAGCTAATAACTGAACATAAGATAAGAACATAAGAATTTGCCAGGCGAAAGAAGACCAAGGTCCATCTAGTTTACCTTCCACCATCCTGGCAGTCACTTGACATGTTGTGTCCCAAACTATACACTGTAAACTGACACAAGATCACAAGATGGATCGGCAGAAGAAGGCCCTTTGGCCCATTTGATCTCATCCTTTCAGAATACCCACCCTACTGTCCTCCCGTTAAGCTGTTTCCTAAATGAAAATGACATAATGCAACAGCAAGCACTGAACGGCTGTCAAATTCCTTTTGTTGAAGATCTCCCACAGTCACGTTGAATTAATTTAATTTCTTAATGAAAGCTGGGGGGAAGAGAAAATACTGCCAACATGACTAACTTTATTAGACTTTCAGTACGTGAACATGAATGATTTTTATGCATCCACATTCTGTAACTTTGCCCTCTTTTTATGCTATAAGTTCTTCCACTAAAGTATATCCAGATCTCTGCAGCTCGTGTCCTCTCCCGCACCAGGCTCCGTGACCCCATCACTCCCACCCTCACCCGCCTCCACTGGCTCCCCATCCCCCAGAGGATAGAGTTCAAAATCCTCATCTTCAACTTCAAGGCCCTCCACAGTTTTTGCCCTCCTTTCCTCTGCGACTTGCTGACCCCATATCAACCTCTCTGCTCAGCATTGTATCAACACTGAGAAATACCTCTCGCCATTGACCGAGAGTCTAACCTCACTGTTGAGGCTGAGGAGCCTGACACCAATGCATACTGAACCTGTCAGGTACAATGCTAGGGGCGTGCTGCATTGTCGGAGGTGCCATCCTTCAGATACCTTAAAAAGAGTCAACTGCAGGGGGATGGGGAAAGGCCAGGTGAATGGAACTGAAGAATTGCTCTTAAGGAAGCTGGCACAGACACGATGGGCTGAATAACCTTCTTCTATGCCATCAATTTCTATGGTTCTATGAGATGTTAAACTCGGGTCTCGTCTGCCTGTTCAGGTGGACATCAAATATCCCATTGGACCTATTTGGAAAAGGAAGGGTGTCTCTCAGTGTCTTGGCCAACAATCCCCCAAATAAAATTGGGCATTCACTTCATGGCTGTTTGTGGGACATTGCAATGTGCAAAGCAGCTGCCGTGTTTTCCTACAAATTACACTGATACCAATTCCCAGCACCTTGGGACGTCCTCCCAACGTGAAAGGCGCTATACAAATGTAATTTTGTTATTGTTGTTATTGTACCTCTTTCAACCTTAATACCCGAAGAACGCATTTTTTGTTAACCTCACCTGGGGATTGTTATTTGAAGTTTGCGAAATGACCGACTGTCGTCTTAGCGTTAGGGTTATTGTCTTGAAACTTTTAAGAAAGGGTCGAATTTTGGAAAATTCTTAACGTTCACCCTAAATTTTGGAAGCAATCCAAATGCTGTAATTCTGTTGTTGTTTTGGATCCAATGCAGACGCCTAGCGATAGCTGTCAGCCTTTTAACACAGATGGGAATGGAAATCCTATTGCTCCATGTGGCGCTGTAGCCAACAGCCTTTTTAATGGTAAGCACTGAAGTCTTTGTGCTTTTTTTGCTGTTTGTTCGGCAAACGTTGAACTTTCAGCTACTTTGCCCGTGTCCTTCCATCCCCACCCTCTGCAACTCTCTTCCAAATCCCCTCTGCTTCATCTTGCCTCCCTCCCTCTCTCGCTCCCCACTTTTGAAACTGTCTAAAGACGCATCTCTTTGATTGCACTTTTAACTGCTCCACCTCCTACTTTGCTCTTCCTATATCCATCTCAGCTCAGGCTCCCACTGAATTTTTTTGTAAACCACTTTCAGATGTTCTACCTAGATAGATATTCTATCTAGGTGAAAGGTGCTGCAGTGAATCCCCATTGTAACACAGTGTTATGAGATCCATAAAATCCATAAAATGTTAAGACATCCTCTTGCGGGTTAGAGATTGCAGATTTGACTCCAAATGTGCAACATGAGGATAATCAAAGACTAAAACACATTTCCAGGAAGGGTGGTTGAGGGCAGGACACTGGACTCATTTAAAAAGTAGTTTAATGCTGTGAGGGGCAGAAGATAGGGTGGCTCTTTCACTGAAACCATACATTCTAATCCCAATTCAGAAGATCACAAGATCACAAAATTGGTCTGGATGAAGAAGACTCTTTGGCCCACCAGATCTCATTCTTCCAGAACACCCACCTTACCATTCCCTCCATCACCGTGTGGAGTCCTGTAGCTCATTGGTTAGAGCACTCACCTCGCAAGCGAGAGACCTGGGTTTGATTCCCGGCAGGTAAAACCTTGGGCAAGTTTCCTTACTCCACACATCTGATAATAATCCCTCAAGAAAAAAAAACAATAATAAATTGTCACTTCAATCCATGACTGTTTGTGGGACACTGTTGTGCGCAACTTGGCTGCTGCATTTTGCCCACAAATGTACAATCAATTCACTTCACAGTATATTCTGTGAAGCGCTTTGAGACGTCTAGAAGACGTGAAAAGTGCTATTATCAAATGCAAGGATTATTATATTATTATTATTATTATCACTGCATCGAGCTGCTTTTTAAGTGAATTACAGTCTTTGATTACCCTTCATGCTCTTTCTCCGTACGCTTCTGTATTAATTCTCTGCAAGCACTTACCCATTTCCTTTTATAATGTTGTCATGGCCTTAACCACAATTGCCACTAAATCTAATAACCCTCTAATCTTCTGTTCTAATAACTTGCTGTATGCGTGTAAACAAAATCATCTAACCCCATTAACTCTTCCAGTGACAATCCTGAACTGAAGCCCGCTGGTAACCGATTCACCAACCAACTCTATATGATCTAAGTTGTCACGTAACCTTTTCCTTCACGTGTCTACATTCCCCGAGTGCTCTGGTAAAGGCTGTCTGAGCGCAGTGATTGACAGCTCTAGTGCTAACTGACCGGGGAGCATGAATGCATGGAGATGGAAAGTGCTCTAACAAATCTTGACTTTGTTGCACAGTATCCAACATATAGCTATTGTGGGCTCTGTGCCTGCTAGCGTACCTCCTGCGGAGCGTAAGAAAACACGATGCAATCAGTCCAAATACATTCCTTAACTGATCAGGAGGTTTTAGATTTAATATGGAAGCAGATTAAATGAAAGCCTGATCACAATCGTGTCTAATGGAGCGAAACGATATCCGCAGGCTGCTTTTGGAGTGCGGTGAGTTTCTGGGACAGATAGGAGAAAGAATGATGTGATTCGAGTTGTGACTGTCTGGTGACCTTTTGATGAGAAAACAGGCTCTCGTTTGAGGAGGGAAGGGGGGGGAGGGGAATAAAATACCCTAAACAAATTACAACCTAAAAAAAAGGGTTGACCGTGAGTTCAGAGATACATTTTTATGTTTTTCCGTAAGACTGACATGCAGTGTAAAGACAATCATCCTTAGTCCTGTAATTCAAAAACTATACCTACAATAAAGTGTCCAACAAATAATAATAATAATAATCCTTGCATTTGATATAGCACCTTATCACGTTGTTGAGACATGGCAAAGAGCTTCACAGAATATACTGTAAAGTGAATCGACTGTGTATTTTTGGACAAATCGCAGCAGCTAGGACTGTTGCTCCTCTAAAGGGCTATGGCTTGTAGGATTGAGTTAATGTCTTCACCTCCAGGCTGCCTCCTCTTCCCTGGGTCGGCTCCAGAGTAGACCTGAGGAAACATTTTGGACATTTTGGAAAGGCTGAGTCACTGGGCAACATCTTTAACTAGGACTGGTGTAGGACGAGCAAACTACTTCTAATCTTACATTACAAGGTCGCAAGATCAGTTTGCTGTGGCGAGGGGGCAAGAGATGATTAAAAAGCCAGGATCTTGTCCAATCCATTTGACAGAGTGACAGAGCACTTTGAAAACTTTGAAAGCTTATCCATAGGTCAAAGAGAGACTATCTGGTTCAGTGGCTGAGATTCAGTGGTTCACGTTAATCTTTTTTTCTGTCTTTCAGATACCTTTTCTCTTTTGTTCCTACCCAACACTAGCTGTGAAAGGACCATTTCGCTGCTGGACAGGGACATCACTTGGTGGACGGACAGGAATATAAAGTTTAGGAATCCTGTTCCACACAATAACCTTTCAGCGGCTTTTGCAGGTTTTCATTTTATTGCTCAGTTTTTATAGGTTGTATAGTTACTAAGGTACACCATAAAAAAAATCATTGTATTCGTCAAGCAGCACACCATCTGGCTCAGTTGGTAGTGCTTTCATCTCTGAGCCAGAGGTTCAAACCCCATGTCGAGGACTTTGAGCTTGTAATCTAGACTTGGCATTCCACTACAGCATTGGGAAGCGCTACATTGCTGGGGGTGCAGTAACCCAAGATTCTGTCTATTGAGGTGGATCTTCAGGAATCCAAGACAGGAAAACAGAAGGAAGTTTTTCTTGGTGTCCTAGCTCGCAACCCTCCAGATATGTGGGTCATGATTGTTGGCGGGGCATTACGGTGTCAAACTGGCTGCTATATTTGCTTACTAATGAACAATCATTGCACTTAACAGTAACCACTGTGAAGCTTTGAGACATTTCGATGTTATAAGTGCTACGTCAAAGGATTATTATGACCATTGAGTGCACTGGTGTATGGCTTGTGCACTGTACAGGGTAAAGCTTTACCAGGTCCAAGTTTGTTTCAATCCGCATCTGATAAATACTATGCTGATTTTCAAAAATTCTGATTTAAACATTTCTCCTCCAACCGATACGGACACGTGGAGTCCTGTAGCTCAGTGGTTAGAGCACTCGCTTTGCAAGCGAGAGACCTGAGTTCAATTCCAGGCAGAGGGCGAAACCTTGGGCAAGTTTCCTTACTCCACACAGAATCTAATAATAATCCCTCCAAAACCAAAAACAATAATAAATTGGTCATTTTCAATCTACGACTGTTTGTGGGACATTGCTGTGCACAATTGGTGGCCGCGTTCGCCCACAAACATATAGTCAATTCACTTTACAGTGTGTTCTGTGAAGCGCTTTGGGACGTCCTCCCGACGTGAAAAGCGCTATATCAAATGCAAGGATTATTATTATTATTGGAGGGATTTATTTACTCGGAAGGCAATTAATGGCTGGAACAGGTTACCAGGAATGATGGCTGAGGCCAGAGGGCTGGACTCATTTAACAAGCAGCTTGAAGTTGTGAAAGGAGTATATATATATATATATATATATATATATGTATGTGTGTGTATTTATGTTGCAACGTTCAGAAAGATGAAATGTTAAAAGCAGTTCAGCAACAACTGAGTGGTTGTGATTGTAAATTGCAGACAGATTGGTGTCATGGGTCACGCTGGGTGTAGTGATGAGGAAGTGTTGATCCATGCAGTGTGTATAACTGGATGTCACGGCACTGACTGCTTCCTCTCGAATCTGAATCTGAATCTGCTTCGGTTCGTGTCTGAGGATGGAATTACACATCTGTTGCTGCCAACCAGCCGAGTGCCCTCTTCATTACTGAAAAGGCCAGCTGGGTGCAGGATGTTCACGTGCATCTGCTTCCATCAGAGAGTCTGTTCAAGTCTACGTATCCTTCGGAAAAAAAAGTCTTCCAGACAAGATAACATCCAAACCATATTAATTTCAGGGAAAGAGTGGGAAATGCAAGGATTATGATCATTATTATTATTATTATTAATAATACTATCTTTCCCCACATTCCAAGTCAATAAAGGGGAATAACTGCTCCTTGTCTGACTTTCTCTCGGCTGGGTGTGGTTCCACAAGCAACTAGTTTCCCTCCATTCCATTCCTTGCCCAAGTGGCTATTAATGATAATAATAATAATAATAACAATAATAATAATAATCCTTGCATAGTGCCTTATCACATCTCAAAGTACTTCTCAGAATATACGGTAAAGTGAATTGACTATGTATTTTGTGGGCAAAACGCGAGCAGCCAATTGTGCACAGCAGTGTCCCACAAACAGTCGTGGATTGTGTGACCAATTTTTGTATCCATTGGGAACCTCGATACAGTAAGAGTAGGCATCGCAGACGAGCCTGACCTCCCTCACTTGGCAAACACAACCAGTAGAGGTTGTTACGGATGTACCAGGCGCAGGAACTCAGGCTTGTTTTCCCTTCCCTCATCAATTTAGCCTCTCGATTGCAACCCTGCCTGAGAACAACAAACTCAGCACGGGCCGGGATTAGAACCAGTGATCTCCTGATCTGTAAACTGCAGTTCTCTCCAACACATACTATTGAGGCTGTACCTATCCCAAAGAATACTTTTAATGTGCTTAATACCAATCGGTATTTATATACACCCTGATTTTACAGATACTTGGCTGTTTTTCTTCCTCATGATGTTTAACGGAAAAAGCAGCTTGAAAGCTGCAATGAATATTTTTATTTTGATAGACTTATTTTTTTAAAAAAGGTTTGCAAGCGTCTAGATGTTGCGTCTCGGTCTCTGTGGTCACCAGAGTAAAGAAAGTGAATCATACTTTTTGTAGGACCTCTGCCAATGCCATTCTCCTAAGGGATGGAGGGAATTTGTTTTATTTTCCCCAAACACAGAGTGATGAAGGATATCCTTTTTTCAAAAGTGATCTCAGATACACATTTTATTAATTATCAACTTCAAAATACTTAAAAGCATGAATGACACAGTTGCAGGCAAATGTTTTGAACAGCCCCAAACTCTGGAACTTCTATCCTTCCGCCTCATGCCCGCTCTATCTACAAATCTGAACTTAAAACCTATCTCTTTGACCTGCTCACCCCCCACCGCCCCCGTCCTGAAAATTCTTCATTAAACCCTGCCATTGTGAAGCGCTCCGAGATGTTATCTTGCGTGAAGGGCGCTATATAAATGTAAGCTGTTATTGTTGTATCCTGCTTGGAGATCAGTGATATGAGATGAGGCCAGTGCTTTGCTGATCATGATCGCTAGTGTAGTTTGAATATTTTACAAACATAAAGGCTTGTACTGTGGCAGAGATAGCAGCTGTTATTCTATCTACAGTGTAACACCTGCTTACAGTCCAAAGACCTCTTGGTGAACTTCCTCTGCGCTAGGAGCGTCCTGAAAAATTACATATTAGAGATTAATTATTAGTTAGTCAGTCAGGCTGGAGTGGAGCAGCACTCATCCTGCGTGAAGGCTGCTGTATCAATGTAAGTTGTTATTGTTATTAATAATAATAATAACCCTTGCATTTGATATAGCGCTAAGGCTACGTCTTCGAGATTATTAATAGTTATGTTAGACTGTAGGCCTTATTTGTGCTTGAGGGGGTATCCTCCACAATTCTAAAGTACTACATTAATTGTTTGTGGGACACTGCTGTGCATAATTGGCTGCCGCATTTCGCCCAGAAAATATACGGTCAATTTAATTTACAGTGTATTCTGTGAAGCGCTTTGAGACGTCTCGAAGACATGATAAGGTGCTATATCGAATGCAAGGATTATTATTATTATTATTAATTCTAGTGTCTAAGAAGTTGTGAAGTTGATTACAAAAAAGCTGAAATATCCCAACCCAGAGACTGAACTGAGGAAAGCATTGGAACCAGTCTGAAGCTCCGTGCACCATCAGTGAGCTGCAGTGATGCAATATAAACATTCCACCACCAGAGGCTGTTCACAAAGTACATTTAGTTCACTGTCTCCATCTAGCGGGAAATGTCATGTAATATATTGGACATCTTTGTCCTGGGAGCCGGTTGTCTGGAAGACAAAAGCAGGCAAAGCAAAGAAATTAAAAGGGAAAGTAACATGTTTGTGTTTTGTGATAGAAAGTTGGAGTTGAAACGCTAGCATGGCTCCATGTCTGTGTACCACAAATGTTATAGTACAATTCTACACCTGACTACTCCCTAAATCTTGCATTGTTGGAAGTGGCGTCCTTTGAATGAGATGTTAAATTGAGGTCCTGTCTGCCTGGTTCAGGTGGAGGCTTGAGATCCCAAAGCATTATTGAAAAAAGAGAGGACGGTTTCTTCCAGTAATCTCCCAATAATCTCCCCCGATAAAATTCGTCTTTCACTTCACGGCTGTTTGTGGGATATTGCTGGCAGAAAATTGGCTGCTGTATTCGCCTAAACTGGACTTTTGCATTATATCCAGTGAAGCGCTTTCAAGCACTTCCTGACGTGAAAGGTGTTATATCAAATGTAAGGATTATTTTTAATATTATCGATAAAAAACACAAGCTCTGTGATGTGATTGCCCTAAACAGAAGATTTGGATGTTCTTCATTGTAACCCCTCCAAAAAAATATTTGGGCACTCAATCCATGACTGTATGGAGGACACTGCTGTGTGCAATTGGCTGTCACGTTTCCTCCTCACAAAATACACAGTCAATCCACTTTACAATATATCCTGTGAAATGCTTTGAGACATCTCAACAACGTGATAAGATCCTTAACAAAACAAAAATAATAAAAATAATAATTTGTAGGACACTGCTGTGCGCAATTGGCTGCTGCGTTTCGCCCACAAAAAATATACAATCAATTCACTTTACAATATATTCTGTAAAGCACTTTGAGACGTCTCAAAGATGTGATAAGGCGCTACATCAAATGCAAGGATTATTCAAGGTGAATTGAAGTGCTGGAATGTAGACCACAGATTTGTGGCCATTGATTGCCTTCTAAATCTCTTGCTGTTCCATCAAGAGGAGACGTTGAGAAGAAGCTCCACTGACAGGGGAATGGGTTAATGATGTGTGGAGTTAGAGGAAAGGTAATAAATAAACAATAATAATAATAATAATAATAATAATCCTTGCATTTGATATAGCGCTTTTCACGTCGGGAGGACGTCCCAAAGCGCTTCACAGAACACACTGTAAAGTGAATTGACTGTATATTTGTGGGCGAACGCGGCAGCCAATTGCGCACAGCAATGTCCCACAAACAGTTGTAGATTGAAAATGACCAATTTATTATTGTTTTTGGTTTTGGAGGGATTATTATTAGGCTCTGTGTGGAGTAAGGAAACTTGCCCAAGGTTTCGCCCCGACTGGAATTGAACTCAGGTCTCTCGCTTGCAAAGCGAGTGCTCTAACCACTGAGCTACAGGACTCCAAAATGGCTTACCTCAACCTCTAAAGTTAAAATGTTTTGCTTTTAGGTACAGTGAGACCTCCAAACTGGCAGAAGGACATTTACACGCTAGGTCATGGCAATAACAATGGCTTTGTGAATGAGGACTTCATTGTCTGGATGAGAACTGATGCCTTCCCAAATTTCCGAAAGCTTTATCGATACTTGGATCGCAAAGAGGAGTTTGTCAACGGACTCCCTGCTGGGAATTACAGTATTAAGATTCAATATAGTATCCTTTACTGACCTGTCTCCCGCACTGTGCAATGGTAAGGTGGTCTACCTGCCTGTAATACCATAGGAATCTTTACCGTAAAGACCGTGGGGTTCAAGCCTCACACTGGGATTTGGGCTCATCATCTGGGCTGACACTACAGTACTGCGGGGGGAGCACTGTATTGTTGAGGATTTCTATCTTTGGTTGAGACGTTAAACCTGTTGTTTATTTTTATCATAAACAACAACAACAACAACAAGATTCCATTTATAAAGCGCCTTTCACGTCAGGAGGACGTCCCAAGGCACTGCACAGTTGGGTCATGACCTGAGCAGGGGGGAAATGGTCAGGGTGAGGGGAGGGGAGGGAGGGAGCGAGGAGGGGGAAATGGTCAGGGTGAGGGGAGGGAAGGGAGGGAGCGAGGAGGGGGGAAATGGTCAGGGTGAGGGGAGGGGAGGGAGCGAGGAGGGGGGAAATGGTCAGGGTGAGGGAGGGAAGGGAAGGAGCGAGGAGGGGGGAAATGGTCAGGGTGAGGGGAGGGAAGGGAAAGCTACCTGTTTGGGCAGTGTTAAAGATCCTGTAATGCTATTCAAAAAAAAAGGGTAATATCTATCTCCCAGTGCCCTTAGCAACAACCTGCCAGATTAAATTGGTCATTCATCTCATGGATCTTTGTGGGACCTTAGTGGTGCAAATGGTTGCCGAGTTTGCCTGCAAAATTAGTTGCTACACTTGATAATTGACACTTACGTAGCACCTTTCACATGTCCCAAGGCGCTTTTGAAGTTACATGTGAAGAAATTAGCGATGTTTTCACATGATACAATACGATACAAAATTACATTTGTATGGAGCCTTTCACTTCGGAAGGATGTCCCAAGGCGCTGAAAGGTAAGAAGGTGCTATCAAAACGCAGGTATTTTTCCTGTCAACAATTCTCCAGATAAAACTGGTCATTCACTTCATGACTGTGAGACAGAGTAGAGTGCAAATTGGCCGGTTGCCGAGTTCACCCCTACATTCACACAGTAACTGCACTTTACAGTAAAATCCCTTGAAGCACTTTTAAGATGGTCCGATGATGTGATAAGGGGCTATACCAAATGCAAGGATTACGAATTTCGCGTCTCAAATATCTAACCAAGCTTGGCAAGATGTCACTCCAACACGGGTAGGAGATGTGTCAATGTTTGCCTGTATTCTGTCTGTGAGTTTTGGGAACCTTAACTGCACGTATCAGATTACCCAGTCACTGCATTTGGAGGGAGGAAAGAAATGATTCTCTCAACTATGTCCTGGATGGGGAGTAAGAACTCTTTCCTTGGAATTGCCTACTGTGTGACCGGGGCGCTTTCTATCATTGCTGGCGTGCTTTTAACATTTGTCTCTTTGAAATTTGGAAAAAAACGGACTGCGTTTAAACGTTAAACACAAATCGTGTATTCAAATACACTGCAAGGGTGATGAGACTGGCTTAACCCTTCAAGCTACTGTCCATAGCCAATTGCGATGTGCTCTTTGAATCAGGGCATGCTCTTGCCCAAAATAAACTGCTGGGTCTTTGTAACTCATTCAATTCTCAGCATTGCGCTTTTTAGAAAATGTATAGACTTGCTTGCAAATAGACAGTCAATACTGTTCACAGTAAATTGTGCGAAGGCCCTTTGAGACATCCGACCGATGGGATGAGATGCTATATGAAATGCAAAGATTCTAATAATGTGAAGGGCATTTTTGCTAAAAAAGATATGGTTGCTTGTAAATATGCATAATGTTTGTGGTGATAGCAGGAGATGAGGGGGAAGGGTGAGGGGAGTGGGTGTTAAAAAATGATTTTTTTTACCACTGGTGGAGGTATAAAAGTTGTGATTGTTTCCTAACATTGATTAACACGAGGATTTGATTCAGAAACCACTGTGAATTTTACCCCCTTATTCCTTACAGAAAATATTTTTCAGTCTGTGTGTGTGTGTGTGTGTTGGCGGAGAGGCGATAGATTTGTGGTGGTCTACATCTCCTCCTGTTCCTGGAGTGATTTACCAATTATATCTCAGTGCTTCCCAAGAAGACACATGGGGGAGAGAGGTGGGTGATTAGAAAGTCCATCTGGGTCTAGATTCACTCTATTTATTTCACAGTGTACAGAATTTTGCAACGACAGCCTTAAATTTGAAACTGGTTTTCCGAAAAGTTTCATTTAAGAAACTACAGAAGGAATGCTACAAATTGCTACAGAATTAGAATAAATCTAGACCCAGGTAGAATTCCTCACCAGTGGTGAGGAGGATTATACAGAGAATCCAGTTAGCTGATAAAGAATTGGCTTTCCCTGTCTTTAGATTTTAGAACAAAGACGCAGTCACTACTCTATACAGTAAATCCTGTGAAGTTCTTTGCGACTACCTTCTGAAGTGTAAGTGTTAGCATGAATATTATTTCTTGCACTGCTCCACACACTTGTCCATCTTTGCTCCGTAATGTGTCCAAAGACCACTTTGCAACAGTTTTGCTCTCTTGCTATTAAATCTCAATTTTATCTAATGGTTTTCACATGAATTTGTAATTTGAGTTAGGTCATGTTTTCACACGATTGGGTGGTGCAGGGTAAGAACTTTAACCTTTCACCCCTTAGGTTGGGTTAGAAACTAGAACAGAGTACAGGATAGTATGCCTTGTCTGTAAAAAATCTTTAAAAGGCTGTTACTATCTTTTGAATTCAGGAATCTGTAACATAAGCAATGTCAGTAACTTTAAGTTTTCCAGATGTGGGCCTGACCGGACTTAAATGTAAAGCAGGTGAGACGTACCCCAGAATCCTTAAGGATTTTGTTTTGTGTCTGTTGCATCGGGAAAACCATCACCACGTTTAAGAGTATCTAAACCAGCCACTCCATCCCTAAACTCTGGAATCCTCTGCCTCAACCCCTCTATCTTTAAATCCCCATCTGAAGTTTTATCTCTTTCTCCATACCTATGGTCATCCTCTCCCTTTTCCCTTGCCCGTTGGCCAACCCTCCACTGTGCAGCACTCCGAGGCCCTACCCTAGTCTCAATATATATTAGTGCAACATATATATAAATGCAAGTTTTTGTTGTAGATGAGGGATTAATCTGCCTTTCTTCAGTAGCATGAGTTGTTCCAAATGTACAACTTCCCCACCAGGGTTGGATGCAGTCCCGGTTCCTCAAATAAGGAACAAAATGCATTTAGGAATGTGGCAAATGTCGACAACCCATATAGCCTCAACCATTCTGGTCTCTGGCTTACCAGCGACACCTATTGATCGTGGACATAGGCCGTACTTAGTTAAGAAAACCCTAGCCAGGTACGAACATTCTTGCAGACTTAGACGTAGCCGATGGGAATCCGTGCAGCAAGCTTCATAAAAAGGAAAAACAGGTGGTGCTTATGTAACCCAAGCTTCCTCCAGATATGCCTGTGATCTGCAGGGTATGTTCCACAAGGCTGCTATTGGCACAGTGACATCTCCAGGCTGCCAAAGGTACATGTCATGCAGCTCAAATGCTCAGCTTCCTATCAGGATATGCCATTGAACCATAAATCTCGTTCAGATTCAGCACAGGATAAGAAGCGCATGACTCACCTATTTGAAATCCTGATGGATGAATAACCCTGACATGCGTCTAATGTTTCTTGCCAAACCTCTGGTGCTTGTTGAGGATTCAATTGTGAACAAAGAAGTGCGTGAGAGGGGGCTGTTGAATGTGATTCTGCTCACAGTAGCAGCAAATCTGTTTTTTTTTGTGCGATGCGTTGGCACTCTCCTGGATAACCAAATTGAACTTGTTGAAATGCCCCTGGTTGGATTTAACTTTCCAAAGAGCGATCAACCCACACCCCTCCCCGCTGCCTTCTCCTCTCCTCCAAAATTGACTTTTCCGAAGTTAAAAGGCTTCGTCCATGTTGTTGTTTGAGGGAGACCCAAAAGAATTGTGCTGCATTTTTTAGACTTGTCTCAAGACGCTCCTCTTCGACCGTGCCTTCGGTCACCCTCCTTGCTCCTACCCTCCCCGTCCTCCACCCCTCCTGATCCCAACCATCAGCTCGGGTGCGGATTCCTGACTTGGTCCAGCACCTTGGGACGTCCTCTTGACGAGAAAGGCACTATACAAATGTAATTTGTTGTTGTTATGTAGGCACCAAAGTGTCATGGTGGAGTTTCAATGTCATTTTGTATAAATGGAATAAAAGGTTTGACAAACAAGATTTTGTGAAGACGGTGCCCCTTTAAATGCTTTTTTTAAAATATATATATTAAAAAAAGGTTTTAACACCCAAAGTGACTTATACGAAGTCTGTGTTTTGTTCTTTTTGTATTTTCTTTCTGATCTTTGTGGTTCAGTTGGTTCTCTTTTTGTTTCCTTAAAGTATAACTGGCAAATTGAATGTTGTCCAGGTAACTATTATTTAGGTGTAACTTACTGGAAGGGTAAATTGAACGAAGGATGTGACTTGTCATCATGGTATTTGACTGTGGGAGGGGTGGTGATGAAGGCATACATTGGCTCCCCCTCCTACCTAAGGAACCCAGCCACCAGTGTCAAGTGCTTTGGGATGTCCTCTTGACGTGAATGGCGCTACATAAATGTAAATTCAGATTGTATTGCACTGGTCAGCATGTCCTGTCCTGTCCACTTAGAGCAGAGTTGGTGCCACTCAAGCTGATGATGGAAGAACAAAAGTTGCATCTTTCAATATAGCTTAAAAATGCCCAGTTTCAACTATTTTGAACTATCAAAGTTCATCCTCTAAGTACAAAGTACATTAAACACAATAAAGCAATGTCTCCGATAACTGTTATCGATGGGATTTTTATTTAGCTATTGTTTCTCTACGGCTAGTTTTAACCTACTGATGGATTTAAGGATGAGAAAGTTCTGTGTAACACTCGTTGGTTTGCTGCAGTCACCTCCCAAGGGATTTACAAATATTTGTGTGGGGCCTGACAGATTTTTTTTTAAACTTTGTATGAGTTTGAAAATTAATCCTTTGAAGTCTCAAGTATACTCAGTCCTGAATGTCTATTTTGTTTGGTTAGAAAGGAGACTTGGTCAATTATTTCCCCCAGATAAAAACAAAATTGGTCTATTACTTCTTGATGTTGCTGTGCGCCAATTGGCTGCAGGATTCACCTACAAATGCACAATTAATACACTTTACAATATGTTCTGTGAAGAACTTTGGACTTCCTCCTGACGTGAAAGGCATTATACCAGATTATTATATTATAAACTGTGAACTACTTTTGAGTTGCTTTGATGTGATAAGGCTCTGTATCAAATGCAAGGGCGGTTATTATTAAGTGAGGGAATGCTGCCCTCTGTATGGAGCAGGCAGAAACTTAACACAGTTTGTTTTCCCGAGGGCTTGCTGATGTGTACAGCACTCGTGTCTCACGATGTTAATACTGGGATCTGAACTGAAAGCCCCTCAGCCACTGCTGTCAAGTCAAATCAAATCATTTGCTTCTGAATACCAAATTCTCCGTGAGCACGAACAATTAGCAATTTAGAGTCTGAAGTCTGGAACATGCCATTTTACAAAATATGTCCAAATGTTTAATAAGTCGCTCTCTCACACACCCCTGCAATGGTTTGCCTCACAAGAAAATCTCAAGACTGTTAATAATGTTGGTGAGAGATTCAGTGGCAAAAGCACAGTCTGCAATAAGTGTTAACTGACATGAATGAAAGGAGTAAAAATATTTTTCCTGCTGATTTTTCTGTTCCTTTTGTGGGGTATAAGACATATTTCCTCAAATGCGACCTTTAAACTGAGGCTCTATCTATCTGTTCGGATGGACGTTAACGATCAATGCACAAATTGAAAGAGAAGGGTGCTTCTCCCAGTGTCTTTGCCAACAATCCCCCAGATAAAATTGGTCGTTCTCTCCATGGCTGTTTATCGGACATTGCTGTGTGTAAATTGGCTGCTGCATTTGCCCCACAAGGGAAACATATATTCAATCCACTGTACAATATAACCTCTGAAGTGCTTTCGGACGCCCTCTTGACGTGAAAGACGCTATTATAAATGTAAGAATTTTTATTATTATTATTATTATCACATCCGAGCTTGATCCTGTCCTCACCTGATCTGTATGTTCTAGCATGGTTCTCTTGATAGGGATCTAGGAGCATGAACTTTGGCTGATTTTCTTTGTGTTAATTAAGTGTAGGGTCTTAACTGCTGCTTCACCTCGGATCAGCTAACAAGGCACAGAGCACTGCTGGGAGTACAATCTGGTTTGAGATATCACGTGTGAATGGATTCATTAAGAATTCTTCAGAAATGGTAAGACATGATAGGAATCTTGAACAGAATGGGATATAAAGATGGGACTTAAATGGATATTGAAACCTTTTTGCAACCTGATTAAAAAAGAGCAAATCACTCTTCCCTTTCATTCTGTAAACCGTTAACTAGATATGGTACCATTGACTTTTGAGAAAAGGGCAAGATGTATGAGCTACAAAATAACTGTTATTATAAGATCACAAAAGGTTTGATGAAGAAGACCATTTGACTACTTTAATTTCATTCATGCAGAAACATTCCAGGAATCAGTTTGGTTTAATTGGTATCACTATTGCTTCTAGGTCAGAAGGTTATCAGTTCAAGCCGTGCGTTGGGACTTTG